TTTATCGCGGGATGTTCTGATTAATGCGATGATTATAGCGTAGATTCATCAATATAAAATGGCTTCATTCAATTCATAACATGTAAATAGCGTCACAGAAATACAGACTCGGTTAGGTCTTCTGATAACGATACAATACACAACCTGTGTTAGGGAGTTAGCCTTATGTAAGATATGGCGCCATCAGCGTCCATACTGATAACCCGCTTGTTTATACACTTAATGTAGGGCTCATACCACTAATTGAATTTCCATAGACGACAATGTTAACATATGACGAGATTGCTATATGAAAATGACGAAGAAAGTTGAAAATATGGCTCAAAAATGGGAAATCAACATGCCAGTAATCAACCATATGAAAAAAACTAACATGTTGGCCAGCTCAAACTCTTGCAAATCTCAGGTAAACAAGACACACCTACTGTATTTGAATTGCACCAAGAGAAATCACTGGAAAAACACCAAGATTAGAACATCCATTAACACACAGAATAAACCCACAGGTACACAGCCGCTAAGTAGTAAACAAAAGACCACATGTTGGTCTCACCTCTGACCCAGGTGATTACGCCCTCAAACAGGGAGCACCTGAGAAAAATAATATTTAAAAAATTTCATTGGTTCTTGCTGGGCATTTAAATTGAGCAGCAGCAGCCATTGGTTAATTAGTGGCATGAGACCTGTATGTAGCTTCTTTCTGACCTCGGTGGAATATAAACATGGCGTCTTAGATATGTTGTCAGTGTTCAGTCACTCGTCTTGTCATTAATTATCATCAATGAACAGAACCCATAACAACCTGTATACCATTTATTTCCAAAAATGACTCCACTGATACAGCGGCAAGTGTTCGACAGGTACAGGAACGCGGTAAAGACAGAAATTGAGCTGAACTCGAGCAGAAGTAAAGCAAACTCTGATTGGTCAATGCCGACCTTGTACGGATTTTAAGGTAGATACTATTAATAAGTCTTGCCGTTTTCTAGTTTGTATTTATTGTATTGTCTGAAAACAAATGCACAGATGTTTTTATCGACACTTAGATGCCTCAACTCAATCACTGTAGTGCTATGCAAGACAAAACAATCGCATGTCGAATACAATGTATGCCATAGAGGGCGGTGATACCTGTTATGTCGCAAACATTAATATTATTATTATTGTTAGAGTTATTATCGTTATATTCGTTGTTACCGCCGATATTCAAGTGTGATTGCATAAATTATGTTAATTAGGACACTCTGAGTGTCGATAAAACCATCTGTGCATTTGTTTTCAGACAATACAATAATTACAAACTAGAAAACGGCAATATCAATAGTATCTACCTAGCGAAATTAATAACTTCCACAAATTTTGTGCCGTTTTGTGACGTTTACACGACTGATCTCGTCTGTAGATGAGCCATAAAATTGGTATCATTATGTTCTATTCTGTAAATGTTAATGAATGCATAGGCCTCCGAGGATATGTCTGCATGAATGGCCAGAAAACAAAATGCCCCTCTTGAAAATATTTATGGCGTGAGAAACTTGCTTGCTTGACAGTGACAAAATTCGCCACGTGTGTAGTGATTCAATTGTGATGTTTCTACCCTAGCTAATAGTGTTCATATTACATGAACACACTCGTATCATTCTAGGTGCCAACAGTTTCAAGAGCGTGCACATACAATGAAATAAATAAATAAATAAATAAATGAGATATATAAATGAAATAATAAATAAATAAAGCAGCGAGAGAGAAGACTATAAGAGCATCGTCGTGATTAGAATTGAAGGATATGCCTACATAATTATGGACCTTTAGGCAGTGGTTTCCGGTTCGACCGTTAACATCGCCATCATTTGG